AGTTTTTTTGGGTCTGTCTTGTTTGGAATATTTTTTTCAATAAAATAGTAAAAAAATAAAATATATATTAATGTTGGAATGTCAATGATTAGATGAAATTTATATCAAGGAGTATGTTTTTGGTTTTCTCAGCTTCGGCCGTAACGTCAATTGTGTAAGGGGTGGTGATAAAAACTAATTATCAAAATTAGATGTTCAAAGACGAATATATATATATATATATATATATAATTATGATTTGATTAATTAATCCATGCACCAATTATTTCAATACACAATTCTATGTGGGCAGTGACATTCCCACTTTTAATTTTTTTTGGTGTGAGTTGTCAATTCAAGATAATAATAATAATAATAATAATAATAATAATATTGTGAATTGGATTTACTGTTTTATTTTATTTTATTTTTTTAAAAAAATATACCATATGATCCACCTAGGAAAACACTACTTTTTTTATTAAAAAAAAAAAAAAGATCGATTCTCTGTGGGACCCACGGTGGTGTGGTTCCCTGCAAATCACTGTAAAGAGGTGTTGGATCATGAAATTTAAAATTGAACTATAAGTGCAACACACTGGTCAATGGTAATACAAATTTTCACCCTAATGGAAAATATATATGGCTCGTATATATATATATATAGAAGCATGGATAGCAATTATTTTTCTTTTCTAAAAGATAATATATATATATATAATATTAAATATATATTATTTTTCACAAAATATTATTAACTCCGTCCCACATTGGGTGTCTTGGTCACTGTAGATACGAGAATTTAGGATAAGTATAATTAATAGATAATTAAAAATATATTAGTAAAAATAATTATTTTATAATATAAATTATTATAAATTAAGATTAAGATAACTAATTAATTTAATTAAATTAAAAAATTTAAAATAAAATTAAGATGAATAATTATTTTTCAAAAAAAAAAAATGACATAAGATATGAGACGGACATAAATAAAATCATGGACATGGTAAAGTGATACGGAGTATTATACAATTCGTTTTGGGCGCAAAATAAAACCTATTTGACAATTTCTGCATGGCTAGAGTAAGGACAGGCGTCCAAGTGATCCTTTTATCGATTTTTTTAAAAGAAAATTAAAAAACACAATTTACTAGAAGATTTGTACAAGCATTCAAAACAGCAGCAAATTGATCATTTGATTAATTTAATAATTGTTATTTAATAAAATATATACAATAATATACATTTTATTTTTTAAAAAATAAATTTTTATATATTATAAATAAATAAATATATATATATAACACCATTTAATACTTAAATCATACCCTTACTAATTTTATACATTAATTTAATACACATTTATATAATTATATGTTGACAAAATACCATAAAACCCCTTGAGGTTCTCAAAATTATAGTCCTAAAACTATATACAACCTACTCGTAATTAATAAAATATTGCACACTCAACCCCTCCCTCTCCGCTAAATCTCTTTCATTCTGGACTAATTTTGGATCTTATTGTATATGCAACCTAAAAATTGTCGGTATCTTATCGTATTTTTGGAATAAATTTATTAATTTTTTCCGATAATTAGATTTGATTGGTTCTAAATTATTGTGATGTACATTTCAGACCGGTGGACAACGTAGCCGGACTAATTTGATAACATGTATTTTGTTAGTATAGAACCACTTTATATTGGGCTCACTTATGCCTTTTATTCTCCACATTTTGTGACTCGGATCGGAAATATTATGTGTTTCGCTATCTTTTGTGTCTATGATCAATGAAGTAGTGTAAGGTTGTTTTGTTTCGTGCTTAGGATATGAAAAGTATTGTTAGGTTGAACTATTTTTTTTCGCTTGTTTAGGGATGGGATAAATTGGCATGGCACGGCTAGTAGATTTGTATTGCATGTTGTTTTTGTATGGTATAAGTGATTTTCTACTATGAAAACTACTCCATAAAACCTCGGCGAAGCAGCAAATTTAATTCAAGGTATATCAACAATGTGTATTATTATTATGACAAAATTGATTGGATGAATTCCATATTATGGCATGTAAAATGTTATCATAAACAAACATATTGCATTATAGTTGCATAATTGATTGGCTAAATTCCAAGCAAATTTATCTATTCTTCATGCATACATCCTATTGCATTACGGGATGGTACATGGACCATTACGAATATTTGTATTACAAAATAGAAAATTGCATTAAAGTTGCAAAACAAACAATCTTCTTCATGCTACTACACAACTACCAGTAACAGATAGACAAGGCAAGATAAGGCAAGGCAAGGTAAGACAAGACAAGACAAGACGAGACGAGAGGAGACGGACCATTATGAACATGACTTGAGCATATATCAACTGATTAAAACCAGATCTTGGGTATGTTTAGCACAACAACAGAAATCATGACAAGTTTGATGTACTTCATTGTAGCTCGCAGGGCTTTTATTTCACAACGTAGTTCTTCCACAGTTGTTTTTAATTGAGACGCTTCATCTGCAATCATTTTTGTTTCTTTGAGGAGCTCCGTCTCAAACGCAGTAGATTGAACCTCCGAGTATTTAATTTCATCCCCATCGTTGCCCACTCCCCAACACGAGTGCTAACAGAATCAAGCCAACGGAAAAAATCACAGTTTCCAACTCGATAATTACAAGATAGTTTTCCTTGTGTTTCATTCGTTGGACCGACAACTCGGATGGCCGCAATGGTCCCACACTTGCATTATAGACACAAATACCTTAGGTCAAGATCTAACCGGCCCATAGACTTTGATTTCAACCTGCTAAATGACATCTTTGTCGATAGATAATAGTTACTCCTTTCGTCTATTCAAAAAATACATATTTTTTTGGGGTTGTCCAATTACAAAGTAACAATTTCAAAAATGCTTTATTTTTTCTACAAATATTCTTACTTTACCATCACATTATTATTTTTACACCAAAAAGAAAAAGACAAAATTATTTTTATACTACTTTAACTATCCACTTAATTAAAATATTATTATTTTTAAACTAAACGTTAAAATTAAATGTATACTTTCAAATTGAATAGGGGGAGTAATATAAAAATGTCAAAATTACGGTCATGAACATGCAGCATAGGCCCAAAAACATAATAGAATTTACTTGCAAATAAATTCATTTATCAGTTACAGGGTTTCACTCATTTTCATTACTAAAAAACTTCCGAAATTGCTATTCAAAATATCCCACCTTCATTTCTCTGGATTGAATTACCAAAAGTTAATTCCCCCAATAAAAATTAAATTCGTTCATCAAATCAACACATCCAAACCTGACATAAATAACACGTGACATTTTATATTTGAAATAGATCCTAAACAATATTTCAATTGTGCCAGAAGGAAACTCACCATTCACCACAATCTACAATTGACCGAAAAAATATGACAAGAACACAAAACACTTACTCCCGATTTGAAATACAATATTTTAAAAAAATTAAACACAAATTAACAAAATTCCAACCAAAGAAATGGCCTACTATAAGAAACTGACATACCCGAAGATCGTGGACATTGACAATTTGAAAATTATACTGACGCAGCTTAAATGAGAGAATTATTCGGCTCAGGGGGCATCGAGGATGCCGAGGGGCAATGAGCAGCCCCCACAATGGCTATATAATTTTGCGTTTGTTCCAGCCACGTCGCAACCTATGGTGTAGGTTGTTTTAGCAATCCCGACTTACAGTTTTTCCCGGAGCAAAGCTCGATTGCTATATGTAATACATGCGTGTTGCTGGCCCATGCTATAGCTCTCCCTTCGGAAAGCCCTGGCGCCATATGTTTTACGATAATGTTACAGGCCTGCAACGTGCCTGGGGACAAACGTACAACCCTACGAGATCGGTTCCACAAGGATCGCACATTTTGAAATGATAGTTGTCAAAATATATACTCCCTCCGTCCCACCTACCATGTCCATGTTGCCGTTTTTGTTCGTCTCACATCTCATGTCACTTTCTTTTTTGGAAAATGATTAAGCATCTTAATCTCATTTTAAATTTTTAAATTTATTTTTTTTAATTTTAATTAAACTAATTTAGTTATCTTAATCTTAATCTATAATTATTTATATTATAGGTTAATATTATTCACTAATACATTCTTAATTATGTAATAATTATACTTATCATAAATTCTCGTGTCTACAGTAACCAACACACCAAATGTGAGACGAAAGTAGTGTATTGAATAAACCCTGGTCGAACCTAATATTTTGTAAACTAGATCCAATATGCAAATTATAATTGATGAATTACGTGTGATAGGTGACACGGAAGCTATAGATATTTGAACCCTGGACTTCGACTATGTCATAATAGATCCGAACACTTGCCCCGGATCGATTTCCAGAACACAATTGTAAGGTTACAGATGTACGGGGTCGGGTAAACCTCCATTTCTCCTACTCGTTGTCCCCTTTGTTTTGCCCTTCCCCCTAAGGGGTTGTTGTGTAACAAGCGCATAATGTCTACTGGAACGTGCGTAGATTTTATCATCAACTTGAGGAATTAACTTCAAGATATAAGGCTTTCCCTGTCAGAACGTGTTGTTCAAAATCGATTCATACAAAGAGGACTTCAGGGTCATAAATCCATTTCCACGCAATTACGGAACCATATTTAACACAGGGTTGAAATGGTTAAATCTATTTTTCAACCGTTGACCGAAAGTTACAGCGTGTAATTGTACCGCACCCGACAAATTCCCGACCGTAGAGAATGGGAACGGGGCATCTTCCACAAGTAACAGCTTTAGGACGGCCCAGATTCGCGCCAACGCACCCCCGGCGCAGGTTAGCCACGCCCAATTAAAATAATCCTCTCGAATTTCCAAATCAGCCCAGACCAATCATTTCCATCCAGCACCCAATATTCCCAAGTCCACTTGGGCAAAATAGTCATTTCAGCCGACAGAATTTCCCTATAAAAGCCCTCGGCCCCGCTGAGATCGACGTTAGATGCGAGGATCAATCAGTGAAGCAGAAGCATCTCAACTGGTGAGCGCTATGAATTAACCAACAGTTTTCTCCTTCCTTCCTTCCTTCCTTCGACCTCGAAGGTTTCTGAATCCTCCGATTTAGTTTCTTCATCAATCAGCCTTCTTTTGTACCTCGGAATTGTGTTTTTAATTCACCGCCGGAGCTGGGAGGAGTCGTGCAGCGCATGATGGGATTTTGCATCTGTCCGTTGGGAACGCCGGCGAGGTTGCTATGGTGCTCGAGCTTCTTCCGTCATAAGCTAATGTTATTCTAATCACAAGCTTTATTAATAGCAGTTCAGCAATAAAATTGTGTAATATAAAGAGAGGTGTTTATATCCGTTAATTCGATCGAGTGAAGACTGAAGATTATACATACGTAGCTGCTTGTGGTTTTCGGTATTGATTTTATCGATCGATCGATCGATCGATCTCTAGTCGGAGATCGGAGAAAGGAAATGGAATCCGGTCGATTTTTCTTCGATGCATCTTGCCACAGCAATATGCTGTTCCTCGGAAGTGGAAACTCCAGTTTTCGAGGTATTGTATATATTCAATCCTAGCTGGTTTTCTACTTCTTCCTGAATTTTTGTTTCGATCGAGTGAGGAATTGAAGGAAATTCAACTATCTTAGTAACTAAGAATTGAATTTGGTTTAGGAGCAAGATCGGCGATGCACATGGAGGAAACCTCCACGAAACGACCTTTTTTCAGTGCTCCGGAGGAACTGTACGACGAGGAATATTTCGATGAGCAGTTGCCGGAGAAGAAACGCCGCCTCACTTCCGAGCAGGTTCGATCCATTAATTTGACTTCTCTATTTCGTCTCCAAAAACCGATCCTAATCATAAATTCATCTCCAAGGTTGAATCAACTGATGTTGAGTTTGGAAACAGAGATAATGCACACTTTTTCTGATTTACCTCACAAAATTGAAGGTGCACTTGCTGGAGAAGAGTTTCGAGGCGGAGAACAAGCTGGAGCCGGAGCGCAAAACGCAGCTGGCTAAGGAGCTCGGCTTGCAGCCGAGGCAGGTAGCGGTGTGGTTCCAGAACCGTCGCGCACGGTGGAAGACCAAGCAACTCGAACGGGACTACGATCAGCTCAGAACCTCCTACGAATCTCTCCGCTCTAACTTCGACTCCATTCACAAGGAAAACGACAAGCTCAGAGCCGAGGTACGTAACCATATCTGATCGTCTCTTTTAAATTACATTTAATTTATCAGAAACAGAGACTATGAGGATCAGAGAAAGTAGGTGAGATTTATTGCTTTAATCTGCTAACTATTTCCATGGTGTTCTTATGAACACACACCTGCCCCGTCCTTCATGACGACGGTCGGGACGTGCCGGGTCCGGGACCTCCACCTAAGATTCGTTCCCAGCCATGGCGATATGTATAAAATAACTCATCCTGTCGCCTTCAATTCAGTTCTTCAATTTTATTCTTGCTTCAGTCAAGCAAAATAGCATCTATCCTTCTATAAAGCATAAACCCCACCTGATCGATCGATTCACTCACTACTCAATTAATTATATATAGCTTGCTTGGATTCACTCATTTTCCTTGTTAGCTTAACACTACTACGTGAACACAAACTTATAATTCACCAAATTTTGTTGTCACATGCTACTTATAGATTTATGATTTAAATTATACTTCATTTAATTTGTCCACTCTTTTTATTTATGTTTGTCCAACATAATTTATTATTTTCTTGTTTGAAAATATGATTATAAACTTTAATCATATTTTAAAATTCATTATTCAATTTTTTTTATTTTAATTAAACTATTTAGCTATCTTAATTTTAATCTATAATTATTTTTATTAAGTCCTAATTATTTTTTACCAATATATTTTTTAATTATTTACTAATTACTTAACACCTAAAATTCTGTATCTAACCAAAACCAACAATTTAAGTGGGAATGAGTGAGTATATAATCAATATCTAGGGTTTGTTTCTTTTTGCCTCCAAAACCTAAATTTTTAATATTTGGACTCTTGCAAAAAATATATTTTTTCTTTCTCTTACAAAATATCATATTATACATTATTTTAATATCAAATTCAAATCAAAATTTTCCAAAAGAAACATAGCCTAGATAAATTTTTAATTGAGTTGGACAACTAAATTATCTTGAGTTTGTGATATTTCACAGAAACCAATAGTTATTACTGATATATATATATATATATGCATATACGTGTGTTAAAATGACAGCTCCTTTCCTTGACGGAGAAGTTGCAACCCAAAGAACCACGTGGAGATCAATCGGATCAGCAGAATACTAATTCTCCTGATCCACTCCCGGCGGCGGCGCCGCCGTGCCTGCAATTTATCGGGAAGGTCGAGGACCGCCTGAGCACCGGCAGCAACAGTAGCGGCGTGGTAGACGAAGACGCCGCCGGCCCTCAGCTTGATCTCGACAGCGGTGATTCCTATTTCCCGAGCAATAATGACTATTCCGAGCAGGAAGATGGCCGGCGGTACTTCCCCGACATGTTCACGGCGGCGGCCGCCGCCGTCGGGGAGCAGCAAGAGCACATGGGTTGGTGTGCTACGATCTGGTCTTCTTAAAGATTAAGTGATATATATATATGCATGGATTTTCTAGCTGCTTCGTAAAGTTATTTTATTATTACTAGCTCTGCCTAAAATCGAGATCTTATATTTTAATTAAAAAATAAATAATCTCTATATAAATACGGCGAGTGTTTTTTTTTCAGAAAAACCTTCTTACGTACGTGAAATGTGGTGAATAATGTATCTACGTTTGTTTGCTTGTTTATAAGGAATTGACTTAAATTAAATATTTTTATAAAATAATATTTTAATACGAAAATAATGTACATATTAAACAATTGATTAAAAAAATATATGATATAATGAATAATTAAAAAAAATTAATTATCATTGTTACTAAAATTATAAACGACTTACTATAAATGAATTATGAAGTTAAAAATAATAATAATAATTATACTAGTGGCATAAATTTGATGACGAATTATGAAGTTAAAAAAAATTAAATACTAGTGGCATGAATTTAATGGATGGAGGAAGGATCATATATCAAGTTTATTTAACTTTCACTAATATATATATGAGTTTGTTTATTTTCAGTTGTTTTTATGTGTTTTTTTCTTTTTTTTTTTTAATGTTATATATAAAAAATTGTATCAGTGTGATAAAAAATAATATTTTGTATTAAATTATTAATTTTTCTGTTTTTGGATAAAGTAGATATTATATATATTAATATTATTATATTATATTTTTTTAATAATATTTATGAAAAATTATTTCATGTAAAAAATAAGTGAACAAACACATTGCTTCTATCAATAATTTATTATTATTCTAAATTTCTTGTATTATTTATTTATATATAATCTTATGGTTATAGTATAAATTATTAAAAAAAAAAAAAAAATCTAAACATATTAAAATTATTGACGGTCTCACCGAATGCATTTTTACATCTTAAACTCAAATTTTGAACACTTTTAAATGATGTTGTCGGTAAGAGAATTGAACAACGAACAGATCATAGAAACGTCCATGCAGAAATAAACAAAACAAACACAACACCAACATTTGTTGGCCCAATTCAACCCTCAACCGACCTACGAGGTACCGATCCAAGTAAGTTCCGTAACGAGTAAGTAGAAACAAAATACAAAAACTCCTCGCACAAACTCCACAAGTCTCCCATAGAGCTGTAAAACAAACGATCAGTTTGCAAGCTCGGCTCGGTTCGGCTCGTTTGAGCTCACTAAGAGTTCGTTCGTTAAGATAAACGAGCCGAACACAGACATAAATTTTGGCTCGTTATGTTCACGAACGAGCTCGAGCTTGTTCGCGAACGTTCGATAGTATTTATTAAAAAATTAAATTAATAATTTTATATATAATAAGTATATATTTTTATAAATATTATATTTCATTCTATTTTTTATTCAAAGTTATTAATAAAAATTATAATAATTATTAACTAAATTTAATTTGTCAAGAGAAATTTTATTTTATTTATTTAATTTTTAAAATTAAATAAATAAAATAAAATTTCTCTTGACGAGCCGAGTCAAGCCAAATACGAACAAAAAAATTGTTAAACCAGCCGAGTTCAAACAAAAATTTCAGCTAATATATCTTAACGAACGAACACGAGCCGAACTCGAGTCCTTAACGAGCCGAACTCAAACATGACAAGCTCGGCTCTGTTCAGCTTGTTTACAGCTTTATGACGTCAGACACACAATGTAAAGTATGAGATTTTCTACCACATACACATACATCTTCATTCGTCAAGATAAGCATGCATAAGCTTAACCTCCATTGGATATGTTCTGAGACGGAACGAAAGCGTAGATAGCTTCACATTTTTCTCTTTCAACTTTCTTTGAAATTTTTTGCACCAAACAAACACTCATTAGTTTGTTGACATAGTAGACAACATAAACTTTTTTCAGAATATCATTTCGGGTTCAAATCTTTAAAAGCTTCGATCAGATTTACACTCAATGTATTAGACAAAAATCCTTTCAAATTTTTCTACTCAAAATATGGTGTAATCTTACTATGAAAATTCCTCAAATAAAATAGAACACTCTCCTTCGACTAGAAGAATGACTCAATTTATTGCACTATGAGATTTTAGATTTTAACAATATGAAATGAACTTTCAAAATTTTTAACTCTCAATTTATTTATTATTCTCTCCGTCCTACCTATTATGTCCATAAAATTTATTTATAAATATTTTTATTATTATATTTCAATAAAATATATATAATATGAATATTTATAGATTATAAAATTTCTACTACAAATAAATAAACGAAAAAATTGATTGAAATACCTATCTACATTTTGAACTTTAAATTCAGTTCTTATATCTATTTTGTTGACACTGCACAGTCAGTACCAATTCAGTTGCTATTCGATTAGTGCACTCTGAGTAAATTTTCGACCGAACCTAATAATCTGCAAACTAAGTTCAACAAAATAAGTCATATTAAACGAATTATGTATGACATGCAAGACCTGAAAATATCGATCATTTGAACCCTAAACAACAATTCAGAAATAAAAATTGTAACTTCCAATTTATAATATTTTGATCTAAAGCCCAGAGGAGTATACAATGAAGTGGTCTGCTCACATTCAAATTGATAGCCCATTACTACTTTACTCTCACACCTTAGGAAATCATGTGTTCATTTTGACTTGACTAAAACTATACAAGTTACACGAGTCTAACATGTTCATAAGTTATGGGTTCAAACTCTGACCTAATATTGTTCATTAATAATATTTTTTCAAAAAAATATTAAATTAAGTATTTATTTTATATAATAAAAAGATCACATAAAATACCAAACGTTTTATTATATTTAAAATTTTGTAAAATTCTAAAATTTCAAAAATTTGAGTGTAAACAAAACTGGGTAGCAGCTGCGGTTACCACGTCATAAAAAAAAATAACAATAATAATAATAAAATAAAATAGAATGTGTAATGTGTTATAGAATGATTTATTTCTCTTACTTTGGCTTCATATTTTTACCCATACATTTAACAAAGTAAATTGATAAACTATTTCAATTAAGTAATTGATTTAAGAATAATTTGCTGCAACGTCAATTTCAAAACTAGTGTCCGCTCTGGTGAAGTCAGCTCAAAATTTGAACGCATCGACTCTCAATGATTATTATTATTATTATTATTATTATTTTCTCATATTTTCCCCTTTAATTTGCATTAAATATATTAAAATTGCTCTTCATCGAGGGAAGAAACCGACGGTGGCACTGTTGACGTTTCTGGAGCCAGTTGGGATATTGTTGTAATTTCATCTCTGCCCTCCGGTCATGTGCGAGTATAACTCCACTTGCCGCCTGCTGGCCTGCTTCGGGCAGCTAAAATACGCAGTCCATTCTGCCCGTCGGTCAGGCTAGGCCCAAATGTGTATAATGTATATATGTAGAGAGAAAGAGTGTGTAAGTGCGTGTGTCTCGCAAACTGCAGACGCAGGTCGCTGTTATTGTAGTCAGAGTTATCTCGTGGCATTCTTCCTTGATTACTCCGGTGCATCGTGTGGAGGTGATTTCTCTGTTTCGCTAGGGCCTTTGAGACGTTTCAAGTGGATTTGATTTCGGTGATCCATTGTGAATGGAGGTGCTGAGGTTGGAGGATTGTGAGATCTTAATGCATTTGTGTTTGAGTTTTGAGTTGAATGTGTGTTTGACTGTTTTTTACTACATTTTAGTTTGTTCTACTTGATTTTATTGCCTTTTTTGTTCTTTTTTTCTATATCATAATTGTCAGTCGTTAGATTGGTGATTTTTTGTCTGTTCGAAATGTATTTGTCCATGATTAGGTTAATTTGTGTTGTTTGTTTGATTATGTGATCTTCTTAAGTTTGTATTTGACTGATCCGTAATTATTTGAATAGATTTGGAAGAATGGCTAGTATTGGTGAAGTAGATACGCTCATCTGTGCACAATTTTGACACTCATTTAGCATCATGAGTATGATATTTTCTGGTGATTGGGTTTATTAGATTTGGCACATTGGTCATACATTTTTTCCACTCCATGCATGCTTCAGCTTGACTAGATTGATATAAATGTTTTTTCTTTGTTCAGCTTTAAGCTAAGTAGCTCTTAAGAATTGGGATATCTATATCTATATAGATATAGATATAGATATTTGATTCCACTGACATCATTGGAACGATTGTGGAAACAAAAGTAAAAGAGGAATAGAGAATAAAGAATCTATTGATCCTCCCTGTTCTGATAGAAACGATTCATTTAGCTCTAGGTTTCATGTGGGAGTATACTGGAGACGAAGGTGTTCATCAATATAGAAAATGGCTTATATCAATAGAGATCAGCTGATATCTAGAGTTGTAGCTAGTAAGTTTTTTCCTAGTTGCAAACTGCAATGTGCTTCACTGGGTATATAGAAGTGTCATTTGTTTTTCATGATCTGCACTTTTATGTAAAATTATTAGATTGACAAATCACTAGCTGCTGGGCCACAGCTACTTTGGTAGAGACTGATGAACATCATTTGGACAGATCCAACGGCCGAAAACCAAAGGTGATTCTCGTAGGTGGACTATCGAACCAAATAAGATCTCAGATTGAGATCTTCAACAAATTTAGGTACACATTTAGCTAGCAGCTACAATGGCTATATACAAAGAAGTTTATTGCGGTTTAGTTTTGTTGAATGTTACAGACTTTTGATTTTGAATTTTCTTGTTTTCAGGTGCCTATAGTTTCCAGAATGTCTGAGATAGCTCTCAGAGATGTTCATAATATTCCTGGCCTTGTTAAAAGTGGAAACTATATCAAACCCCTTGTTGAAAGCACTTACGAAAACACAAAAGAAAAGAGTAAGGAAAAGATTGGATGTTTGGTTGACCTTTCCATTGAGAGAGATACAATAGAGAACTCTCAAGTTGAAATCATAAATTTAGAAACAGAGTACATAGAATCAGATAAATTGGCAGATGTGGAAGACGTGGAGGAATGTATAAAGGTATGGTCATTTTGCTGTTATTTCCAAAGAAGTTTTTTGCTAAGCTTTTTCATGGTGAACCTCAATGTGAATTGGTAGTCTTTGCAAATTTAATTAGTGAATCACTTTTAATATGCAAAATTTTTGCTCATTACTTGTATTTTCTTTTAGACACTTGTGGAGGCTTGGCGCCAAAGATTGGCTTTCAGTGTGTGATGCTCTGAATGATGTTCGCAGATTGTCTGTATATCACAAGGATGCCATTGTTGGCATGTTGTAAGTGCTTACACGTCCTTGATCTTTCCTTTAAGTCAAGCATGATCACACTCTTTGTGCCAGCATTTTATGAATTTCGTAACCTAGTCTCAAAATTCTAATGGGCAGGAGTGATTTGATATCCCTAGTAGTAAAATCCATGAAGAACCCTAGAAGGGCCCTTTGTAAGATTGCAATTATGGCTTCTGCAGACATCTCCAAAGTTTTCAATGACAGCATCATTGATTTATTGGATAAAATTCACAATGCTGCAGACCCAAAGCCTTCTTCTGAAGAACTCATTGTAGCTTCTTGGGAGCATTTGTGCCAATCAATGCTCTCACCTTTGAGCAAGCAAGCCGTCCTTCGTGTCACCACTATTCCTCGGGAGGGATCTATCTTGTGTACATAGAATACGGCTGGTCAGATACCGATAATCTAGTGAGTGCTTCCTTATCCATTTTCTTGTCTTAAATTCTCCATTTTTGCACCTGCAAAAAAATTGAACCTGATGATTCTAACTATTCTTGCTTAGTTGCTGCCTAATTAAACATGTGTAGGGAACCATTACAACTATCTTATGATCTTTTCAGTAGAACTGCTTTTTTTTTTTATTACCTCTTAAAAATCATTATATTTTTGGTGATAAGATTGGCTGTCGATCAGGTCTATCCTAATTTCGAAATTTGGCAGTGAGACTTAGAAAACTTAGATAGACACACATTTGCATGTATGTATATTAATCTCTCTGGCACTAAACATCCAAATTTGAAAGCAAAACATTTGTCAGATATGAAGTGGACCACTCCACAGCACTATATTTCTTCCACACGTATCTAATATGCACAACATAAGCTTTGTCTTCTGTGATATTTATTCATTCATGATAATATATATATTCAATAATTTTCTATATTTTCTCTATATATACAAATTGCACTGTCTTTACATCTTTTCTGCATTAAGTAACTACTGATATGACATCTCCATGATTTAAATGTGCAATCAATAATGTTTGTATCACATTGAGTTTCCATTGAAGCACACTATGGATTATAGCATTAAATGTGCCTAACTTTGTGCATAATTGTGAAAGCTACATGGAAAAGTAGTATAAGAAATTTTGGTTGTAGTTTAGCTTAGTCAGGGAGTGCAAATTATTATTATTATTATTATTATTATTATTATTATTATTATAGCATTAATTTTGTATCAATTTAAATTAAGTGGTCTAAAAAGTGTGTGGTGCAGGACAACACATTCAAGTCAAAAAGTTGGGCATCTCTATCTATACACAATTGTGTGTATATTGGACCACCATCATTTGAACCTTTTTGATGGATTATTTTTGGATTGTTCCCAATTCTACCAATCTCCACTTGGTATGTTATTCCCTTTATTTATTTATTTTTAATGCATAAAAGAACATTTATATGAATTAATACTTGAAAAGCTTGTGCAGTTAATACTCAGTGCTTGAATTAGTTCTAATCTGTTACATTATTTTTTAATTGAACGGTGAAGATAGGCGACGAGATAATATTATAATCTCTTCATTCAATCTCACTGATTTTGATTTTGCGGCTTTTGTCTCTCTGTTTTTATAATTATATTCATTTTTATTATAAAAATATTGGGAATGACTATAGAGAAGATGAAATATATTCTCACATAAATTATCAATAGCATAGCACCGTGCAGACGCCTAACCAAGTAGCTGAAGCGCTGTGTGTCATATTATTGAACAGTTGTTGTAATTTTTATATGCAAAAGTTTGGATGAGTCAATCGATTAATATCTTATGGTGGTGACCTACATGATGTTGATTTGCTTCTAGATTGGCCATTATTATTCCACGAGTATTGTTTATTTAACGTCGCGTGCTTAGACTTTTTCTATATTTTAGTCGCTATATTTGGTAAGTTGGTATTGTGTAAGTATTGCGTGACAGGGAAAATAAGTCTCACGTTAGACTAATTTTGAATTAGTTAATTTAAATGAGTAACCATACCTAATACACAATCCATATATATGTTTAGATCTTTATATGACATCAAAATTAGTATTCTCCTTATCTCAGTTAATTATGTAATTTTGTTTGAATATGAAAATAATAATAATATAAAAAATGATATTTTAATATAAAATAAGATAGGTAAAAAGTAAAAGAAGAAAGAATGGTATTATCAAATTTTTATTAAAATTTTGATTTAAAAAAAAAAAAAAAGTTACAAAAAAAGGAGAAAAAATCAATTTTGGTCCAAATATAACAAAAATTTATCAATTTTGGTCTTAATATAAAAAATTCATCAATTTTAATCTTGTTATAAATAACTTCAATCAATTTTAGTCCCGTTATAAATAATTTAAATCAATTTTGGTCCTATCGTTAAAAAATTAACGGAAATTGTTGACGTGGACATGACAAAAGTGACGTGGCGGCTGACTTGAAAACTACACGGCCATGTACAATTATACACGACCATGTATATTTCAGTGTATAATTATACATGGTCACGTTGTTACACGGGGTATATTGATACATAGTCATATAACAACATGGTCATGTATATTTTAATGTATAATTATACATGACCATGTTGTTACACAGCCATGTATAATTCTATACTATCTTTCTGTTTTGGTTTAAAATTTTATTTTTTTGTTATATTTTTTTAATTTTTGTTTTGAATTTAGAATAGTTGATAAAGTTAAAATGAAAAAAAAATCAATAATAATCGCAAAATAATTAAAATGTATCAATTTTAATTCAAATATAAACATTTATCAACTATGTTTTTTTAAAGATTTTGTCTAAAATTCTATTATTTACCAAAAAAAATTTCTTACAAACATCCAATTATTGTATTGAAATAATAAATTAATTTTTAATACTACTATAATATACAAAATTAAAAAATAGTTGTGTAATTGGATGTTTGTAAGAAAAATTTTTTTAATGAGTAATAGAATTTTAGACAACATCTTTCAAAAGAATATATCTTATAAATTTGTATATTTGAATTAAAATTGATAAATTTTAATTATATTATGATTACTATTTATTCTGTCCATTTTAACTATATTAACTATTTTAAATTCAAAATATTTTTTTTAAAAAAAAATATAACAAAAAAATAAAATTTTAAACTAAAACACAAATGTACACGGCCCGTGTAAAATTATACATGGTCATGTATAATTATACACTGAAATATACATGATCATCTTCTTATATGATCATGTATTAATGTACATGGTCATGTATATTATACACTGAAATATACATGACCATGTTGTTATATGGCCGTGTATTAATGTACATGGTCGTGTAACAACAGGTCATGTATAATTATACATTGAATTATACATAGTTATGTAACAATATGGCCATGTAGTTTCCAAGTCAGCCGCCACGCCATTTCCATCATGTCCACGTCAGTAATTTCCGTTAATTTTTTAACGGTTAGACCAAAATTGATTGAAAATATTTATAACGGGACTAAAATTGATTGAAATTGTTTATAATGTGATTAAAATTGATGAATTTTTTATATTGTAACCAAAGTTGATAATTTTTTGTTATATTGGGACCAAAATTGATTTTTTTCCTAAAAAAAAATTAAAAATTATTACTCCCTCAGTCCCAGATACCATGTCCACGTTGCCGTTTCTGTCCGTCTCACGTACCATGTCACTTTCCTTTTTTGGAAAATAATTACATACTTTAATCTCATTTTAAATTTTATAATTTTTTTTTTAATTTTAATTAAACTAATTAGTTATCTTAATCTTAATTTATAATTATTTATATTATATGATAATTATTTTCACTAATACATTCTTAATTATCTATTAATTACACATCTCCTAAAATACCGTGTCTACAGTGTAGCAGACACGGTATCTGGGACAGAGGGAGTATTATTTAGGGTAAACTGTTTTTTTAGTCCCGTAATTGGACCCCCTTATCATTTTAGTCTCAAAAGTGAAACATGTCGCAAACTAGTCTTATAAGTGAAAATTTTCCATTGTTTTAGTCATCCGGCGCCGGATATGCCCCCATGGCTCGCAGGAAGCCACGTGTCTAGGACACGTGGATTTTTTTTTCATTTTTAAAATTTTTTTAAATTGCACCAAATAAAAAAATTAAAAAAATACAAATAAAATTAAAAATATATTTTAAAAAGAATTTAAACAAAAATGAAGAAAAAAAAATAAAATCCACGTATCCGCTACGTCAGCGATACGTGGCCTCCGGCGAGCCATACGGCGTCTCAGGTGCCGGGGACTAAAACACAAAATAAAATTTCACTTGTGGGATTAGTTTGCGACAGGCTCCACCTGCAAGACTAAAATAATAAATGAATTCAATTACGAGACTAAAAAACAATTTTTACCTATTATTTATTAAGATAAAATTATTCTCTTAATTTATCTTTTCTTGTCCTTATTTGATATTTATATGCTTTTTTTTAGACAATTAAATTATTATTATTTTTTTTGTTATGAGTCCACAAATTTGTCATTTATTTTGTATACAGAAAAAAAAAAAGAAAAAATAAAATAATAAAAAAGAAGACAATAAGTATTAAACTTTTCAAATAAAAAATAAAATATTAATTTGTGGGCAAGAGAGAATATTTATTATACAGGAAGCAAAAAGAGTAATTGTTATTTTCCGAAGGCCGCATAATTGGTAAATATTTAGGGCAAATGTAATTACTAATCGAGAAAGTCTTTTTTAAGTATGCCGACAAGCTCCATAAAAAAGACGTTGGTAGAAATTTGAAGTAGCAACCTAATAATATACTCACTGATGACGTGGCTTGTGTTTCTATTGCAAACTAATTGATTGGTTCCTAATGGTTTTCCTTACCATTGCCCCAAATTAACTCGGTAAGCCATCCGAGTGAACTCAACGAGTCAACTCAGTACGCACAGAACAATCTGCAAATCCGCAAAGAAAGAAGACAGATAGTATTGTATGAAAAGAACTTCATTGCCGCCCGTTCTTTTTTTATTCTGTTCATCCAACTCTTCTTAACCTAATATTTTCACATAAAATGCTTCTTTCTGACTTTCACTGAAATCGATTCTCTTCACCTCTCTCTCTCTCTCTCTCAATCCATTAATTTAATCCACCGAGGTGGATTTTCTTCATCCTGTTTCTTTAACTACATAGCAATTTTATTTTATATTTATACACACACCCTTTGTGTGTGTTTTTGTGTGGTGGGATTAGTGAGAATATTCTGATATTATATTGAATTCACCAGGCAGGCAGGAAATATTCTCTGTATTCCCTAATTCCCATTTCCCACCATTTTTGTTCTTCGGTGGTTCAGCCTCCTGTTTACCATCTTGTCATTTTCTCAGGCCTATTTTCAAGAGGGGCTTTAAATCTTTATGGGTTTTCCTGTTCAGATTGTCACTTTGCAGTAGTTTAGATATCGACAAGAAATGGTTTCACTGTGTTTTTGAAGAGTCAGGGAATGGATAGTGAAGGCGGTATCCCCGACAGTCGTTTAAGGGTAAGAGCTTTTGATTAATTACATATATATATATATATGTGTGTGTATTCTTTCTTTATTTTAATGCAATCTGTGTAATTGTGTTGGGTTTGTTTCTGGTGCAGAAGGAGTCATGGAGGACTGTATTGACGCTGGCTTATCAGAGCTTGGGGGTCGTCTATGGCGATTTAAGCACTTCCCCTCTTTATGTTTACAAGAGCACTTTTGCGGAGGACATTCAGCATTCGGAGACCAATGAGGAAATCTTTGGAGTTTTGTCGTTTGTTTTCTGGACCTTGACTTTGATCCCACTTTTTAAATACGTGTTCATAGTGCTTAGAGCAGATGACAATGGCGAAGGAGGGACTTTTGCTCTGTATTCTCTGCTGTGCCGACACGCCCGTGTTAGCACCCTCCCGAATGGCCAGCTTGCTGATGAGGAGCTTTTCGAATACAACAAGGATGGGATTGCATCGGGCAATAAGGGCCTTGGTTTCAAGCTAAGATCATTGCTTGAAAGCCATGGCTTTCTGCAGAGGATGCTGCTCACTTTGACATTGATCGGGACTTGTATGGTGATCGGAGACGGCGTGCTTACACCCGCAATCTCTGGTGAGGTTTCTTGCAGCCCGTGTTGGTTTTTGTGCTGTGGATTTTGATTGTTTGTGTGTTTTTATTTTGTGTTGTGCAGTGTTTTCTGCAGTGTCGGGGTTGGAACTCGTCGTGTCGAGGCATCATCAAGAATGTAAGTTCTTTAAATGTCTTAATGGATTTCTTGAGTTTTTTTTTTTTTTTTTTGTTTTTTTTGTGTATATGTTTGAATATGCTGAATTGAAGTATCATTCATTAAGTTTCTTGCAGGCCATTGTGTTTGTCTATATATCATTGTCTTTATATCTCTTGTTCGATTTTTAAGGATTCATGCCGTTGTTAATATATTGTTAACAACGCCAAGTAGAATATTAGCTGAGATTGCTGTTGATTCCCAAAGAGTGTAAGTTCGGCATCTTAATAAAAAATCAAATGTTTTTTATTAGGACAAAGTTTATGCATATAAAGTAAGGTCGCTGTCTTCCCTAACATGTTGTGATATATGCAACTTGCTTTGGTGCTTATACAATAAGTTTAGTTCTTGTGGATAACATTGTACCTCTGTAAAGTGTTTTTTATTCATTTATACGAACGGTGAAATGTAATATATGGCTATGGTGATATTTTTATTTTTGTAACTAATGTTCGATTTACATTGTTGTATGAATCTTGCTGGTTTGACTTTGTTATATCGTTCTGCATCAGATGTACAAGTCCCGGTTGCATGCGCGATACTGGTTTTCTTATTTTATCTGCAGCGTTTTGGAACGCACCGGATCGGGTTTCTGTTTGCGCCTATAGTGATAACTTGGCTGTTCTGCATCAGTGCCATCGGACTGTACAATGTATTGCACTGGAACCCGCACGTTTACAAGGCGCTTTCGCCTTATTACATGTATAAATTCTTGAACAAGACGCAGGAACGAGGCTGGAAGTCGTTGGGCGGGATCTTGTTGTGCATAACAGGTTATAATCTTACAGTGTGATGATTTTTTTCGTAAATTGTTCTGTCCTTACATTCCCGAAATGTTCAAAAATGTTTTCAGGCTCGGAGGCTATGTTCGCCGATCTTGGACACTTTTCGCAGCTCTCCATTAAGGTAAAAAAACGAACTTTAGTATTCATTTTCATAGTTTGATCGAACTTGCGGATATTCACATCTACTGCATTTTTTGTAGATAGCATTTACCTGTGTGGTCTATCCATCTCTGATCCTCGCCTACATGGGACAAGCTGCGTATCTATCGAAACATCACGTGATTGAGAATGATTACCGGATTGGATTCTACGAATCTGTACCTGGTAATCGCGCAAATCCTTTTTCGAATTTACTTTTGTTCTGCGAGGCTTTTTTATTGAGTTAAGGAAAAACTCTTGCAGAAAAACTGCGATGGCCGGTTCTTGCGATAGCTGTTCTTGCAGCAGTCGTAGGAAGCCAATCGATCATCACCGGGACGTTCTCTATAATCAAGCAATGCTGCGCAATGAGTTGCTTCCCGAGAGTCAAAATAATACACACGTCCTCGAAAATATGCGGCCAGATTTACATACCTGAAATCAACTGGACTTTGATGATTCTCTGCTTGGCTGTTACGATCGGGTTTAGGGACACGAAACACATTAGCAACGCATCCGGTAAGTTTCCTCGTTCGTGTTGTTAAGTCGAGTTCATGATCTGTCGTGTCGAAATAATTTGAGATAATAAAATAAAGTTAAATCTAACCTGATTCTATTAGCGCAGTTGATCTGATCTGCAATTAATTGAGAGTTTTGTATTCTTCAAGCCTATCACACAATCTCTTCTGAGAAAACTTCTAGGATTTTTTCCGTTATTTTCACGATCAGATATAAAAAGTAGTTGACGTTGAGTCTAGGTTTAAAGCCCAAAGAGTTACATTTAACTAACAATTGAATTTCTAATTCAACAAGCTTAGCTATGTCTCGACCGGTGACTTATGTTTCGATATTTTTTTCTAGGTCTCGTGGTGATAACGGTCATGTTGGTGACGACTTCGCTCATGTCGCTCGTCATCGTTTTATGTTGGAACAAGAGCATCCTATTGGCCATTTCCTTCATATTCTTCTTCGGGTCCATCGAAGCGCTCTACTTCTCGGCCTCTTTGATCAAGTTCCGCGAGGGAGCGTGGGTCCCCGTTGCGCTCTCGTTCGTATTCCTCCTTATAATGTACACCTGGCATTACGGCACCCAGAAAAAGTACGAGTTCGAGTTCCACAACAAGGTGTCGATCAATTGGCTCCTAAACTTGACACCCGACCTCGGGATCGTCCGCGTCCGCGGCATTGGCCTCATACACACGGAGCTTGTCTCCGGCGTCCCGTCGATCTTCACCCACTTCGCGACGAACCTCCCGGCGTTCCACCAGGTTCTGATTCTGTTCTGCATCAAGCACGTCCCGGTGCCCCATGTGCGACCCGACGAGAGATTCTTAGTCGGGAGAGTTGGCCCGAAGGAATTCCGAGTCTACCGGTGCATCGCGCGGTACGGTTACCGGGACACAGCCATGGACGACGTCGAATTCGAAAGGAACCTCATCTGCAGCATTGCGGAGTTCATTCGATGCCCCGTTCCACACTCCACCATCACCAGCAGCCCCGATCATGATGAGAAAATGGCGGTCGTCGGGACGACGTCGACCTCCACAAACGGGCTACGAATTTACGACGGCGACCAAAGCTCGCCGGAGGCTCCGAGGAAACGCGTAAGATTTGTCCTTCCGGAAAGCCCGCGGATGAGCGGCGAGCAACGGGCGGAGCTGCGGGAGCTGATGGAGGCGAGGGAGGGCGGGATTGCGTTCATATTGGCTCATTGCTACGTGAAGGCAAAAGCCGGGTCGAATCTTATGAAACGGGTGGCTATAAATAGCGGGTATGATTTTCTCCGGCGGAACTCGAGGGCGCCGTCGTACGCATCGAGCTTTCCTCAGGCCTCCACGTTGGAGGTAGGAATGGTTTACTATGTATGATACGTATAGCCTGTATTTTCTTAACGTTTCTACCTCTTTTTGCACCGGGGAATTTACACTCGAATTATTTTATTTTTTTTCTCTGATTTTTTTTTTTTAAATAAATTAGTGAAAATGATGATTGTAGAAATAGAAAAATATATTTTGGTCATACAAATTAAATTATTTGTAAACCATCACATTATGATTTATATTAATAGTTCATTAATTCACCGTTCACCGTGTAAAAGGATTGGGCACAAGAATTGCGGCGCGTTTGTTTTGTGTTTTTTATTTGAAATAATATTTTATAAAGAATTAGATAGGTAATATAAAAATAATAATTGTGTAGTATATATTAGGGTGTGTTTTTGGTACGACCGACTCACCCGACCCAATTCAACCCAAATCGTGCTACCCGGTATGATCTGTTTAATATCGGATCCATTCTTAGTTTTATCCCTAGCGACAAACTCATTCTCTCTTCCGCCTGTTCTGACGAAAACGCAATAAGATTTGTTGGGATACTTCATTTCAAACTTCATCCTTCTATTATTATTTTGATTATTGGCACTAACCTATTAATACTTTTAGTGAGATTATTTGGTTGTAGGAACCCCGAGTCATCGATCCTATAGAGTATATATTCTTAATAGTAGTATCAGAGCTTTGGTGAACACGGGTTTGAAAAATCATAATTTAAGTTTTGTCTTGCATTTGGTAACAAAAGACTAACCCTTATTTTTTATTTGTTAAATAGTTATAGGATAATTTGTAATTAAATTCTGTGAATATTTTATATGGGTTGACACTGCTATCACGTAACTAGCTGCTCCAAAAGCGAGATAGTAGCCGATCATTGATAGTTAATGAATTTTATGACATTTTTTGTAGCAATTGTGTGACTTTGTGTTGAAAAGTATTTTAGTAACACAAAATGTTACCAAAATCATTGATGGTGATTTTAATCGTTTGTTGACTGAAGATAAAAAAAGTTGAGATAGATGAACATGCATATTCGTTGATAATATTGAATTTACCTGACTCTATGATTAGAAAAGTGGAAAATATAATTATGCAAAAGAACTTTGGAAAAAACTGAAGAAATTTATATGGAAAGGTCTTTGCCGAATAAATTATTTCTACTTGAAAAATTCTTCAGATTTAAACTTGAATTATCGAAATCAATTTATGAGAATCTTGATGATTTACTAAATTTGTTCAAGATATTAAACAAATAGGAGACAAGAATATTGATGAATATACCCCTATTATGTTTTCGAATGTCATTCATAAATTCTTTTATGATGTCAAATCTGCTATTAAGTATGATAGAGATAGTATAACGCTTAAAACAATTATGAATGGATTAAAATGTAAGGAACTAAACATGCAAGTTAATAGGAAAGAAAAATAAGCATTTGATGAGGTCTTGTTATCTAGGGATAAGTCACATAAAATTTTAACAATAAAAAGAATAAGGGCAAGTGGAACAGTAAGAATATGAAGTACTATAATTGTGGAAAAAAGAATCATATTATAAATCAACGTGCACATTCAAAAGAAAACTTTAAAACCTAACAATGTGATGAAGCAAATGTGGCGACATAAAATGAGGTAGTGGGTAATGTGTTTATGGTAAAAAATAGTTTGGCTACTATTGACCCTATGTGGGAAACTGAGTTGTTACCTGATATTGCCCTTAAGAAATTTGTTTTCGATTAGTAACTCTATATCACATCCTTTTGTTGGTATTGGTTTTGATTGTATGGTTATGTGTTAACCTTAGAAATATATGAATATGCTACAATTTGGTGTTGTTTATTAATATGTTACAACTTGGTGTTGTTTATTGATATGCTACAACTTTGTGTTGTTTAAATATGTTCGCATATATGTTTACTTTGTAATTTTTATATGTTTTATGTGTTATATCTTTGTGGTAAGTTGCACATATAAAAAAGCGATGATGTTAGCATATTCTTTACTCCTGTTATGCCCTCCAACGCAACTGTGATGATCGATTAGAAACAATGGAGAGATTGTTGGGGTGTGTTTCCGGTTCGACCCAACTCACCCGACCCGATCCAACCCTGTTTCCGGTTCGACCCGACTCACCCGACCCGATCCAACCCAAATCGTGCTACCCGGTATGATCCGTCTAATATCGGATCCTTCCCTAATCTTATCCATAGGGACAAATCCATTCTCTCTTCCGTCTGTTCTTCTGCTCCGACGAAAATGCGATAAGATTTGTTGGGATCCTCCATTCTTGAACTTTATCCTTCTCCCTCGGTGGTCGATTGGTAAGTTAGTTTCTACTTTTGGGGCTTTATTTGCTTTCTGGGTTGCCTATACATATGTATATATACATATGTGTATCTGTGTCTGTGTGTGTTAGAGTTATGAGTTTTTTTTGGGAAAACTGAGAGGGAGAGGGTACAAGGGCTATGGGAGTGAGAAGCTATCGCATGGTGTCGATCATTTGTGTTCTTTTTTATTTTGTGATTGTTGGAGTATTTCCGGTTCTCTTTCCCTTTAAATTTTGTGTTTCTTTTGCCCCTTTGTGAAATTACATTGCTAACGAAACCTTAGATTACTCCTATTTGTGGCGTCAGCAACATCGGAAGGCTTGAAGTTGGAGCGGAGTAGACTGTGATATAAGCAGCTAGATGTTTTATTACTTCTTTCGTATGCCAAATTTATATTCACTTTCCTTTTTAGTCCGTCTGTTAAATTTATCTCATTACTAATTTTGGTAAAGTCAACAAATCAACATTTAATTATTATATTTCATTCAATACTTATTTACAACGAATACCGCTAACTTTATTACATTCTTTCTCTTTATTTACTTTAATTTCTAACTAAATTTTAAAAAATATCCTCAACTACTTATCACTTTTTCAATAAAATATTAATTTTTTTCAAACTCTATGCCAAACCTAAATGTGCTAATTTTAATGGACGGAAAGAAAGAGTATATTTTAGCACTATTTTATATTCCTCTTAGATATATTATTATTCTGATTATTAGCACTAACGGGATTATTTCGTTCCACGAACCCGAGTCTGTCGATTCTAGGGAGTATAAATTCTTAAGAGTATATTATTTTTTTTTAAAAAAAAAAAAAATGTATTGAAAAATTTTGGGTAAACGAGGAAAGCCTTTTGTTTGATTGGAGGATTTTGAATATAATTTACTATTTCTAAAATTTCTTTGTTCACTCTCCAAAATGTTAACTTAGCTGTTAAAATTATTTTTATATTAAGAATTACATTAGTATTTATTTATATGATATAAAAAGTTATTTTAATTATTAATGTTATTATTTAAAATTAAGAGTATGTTTCTCCGAGGCCATTTTAGCCAAATTTACTGTACATTTACTGTGCATACACACAGTCACACCTTTTGACTTCTTTTTAATATATATAGATTAAAAATTATGGAATCACTTTCACGCAAATACTAATATAAAATAATTATTTGATAATTATAATAATTACTATTTAATAAAATATATACAATATATATATTATTTTGTAGAAAATAAAATTTTTTATAATAAAAATAAATAAAAATTTAAATATATATATACAATATAAATTCATACTCAAATAATGATTTGATAATTTTAAAATTTTAAATTTAATACATATTTATATTATTATATTTATTACTCATTAAATCAATACACATCAAAAACTCTTCAAACTCAAACAAAACTTACACATAATTGAAACACAAAAACTCGAACCCATCCTAAAATTCAAATCAAATCCATCCTCGAATTAAAAATTCTCTCAAAACACCCAAAAGAAACACACCCTAAAACTCACGATCAAACACGCCCATATTAACATCTATTAATAATAGTAATTGATATTATTCTCTTTTATAATTGAAAAATTGATAATATATAATATAATAGTGCTGAATTTTAAACATAGATTAACAATGCATATAGTATAAAATAAGTTAATTTTAATATCATACGGCATAAGTTATAAATATAAATAAAAAGATATATCTTTATTTTACACCATGTTATGTGAAATAAAAATATGTATTATATCTATACTGATTGGCTCGGTAATCCTTCCCAATTTTTTTACTAGAAAAACAACAATATATTTTAAGGACAGCCAACAAATAAAAATTAGCATAATAGATGCTATATAAAGAAAACAATTATATCGGACACCTCAGGTCTTGTGACCGTGAAGTCATGGGTTCAAACCTCCGACGCCTCAGATCACCTGTTACACATGGATCGCCTAGTGTGACTTTTCCGTCGGGTCTGGTTTGCAGGATATTAGGTTCGGCCGGGGGTTTACTCAGTGCGCACTTTCGGATAGGGATTGCGGGTTTCCTTGTCATCCAAAAAATTAAAAAAAATAATAATACCACCATACCATGCATGTATTATTTTGCACGATGTAACAAACTTATGCACGTACATATTCTAATGAATTCAAGGTTTTATGAGAGGCGCGACGATATCATCCGAGCCGTCCGATGAGTCTGCCGCTGAACGATGATCCGACGGTGGAGACAGCTCCTCGATCATCCCCTCTTTCATCTTCCCCCACATGAGTGTGTAAAATCCAACTGTAATAATTATGGATCCTATCACACTACACAAGCACACCAAGTTCCAATTATTCACCATTCTCTTGCGTTTCAATAGCCAAAATAACAGATGCATAAATTAATCTATCTGTCAATGATGAATTAATTAATAACCAGCCAAGAGAGAGCTGATCTCCGAGGAAAATGACGCCTGCGGCGGCGGCAATGGCGATCGACAGCGGCTTAAACAGGGCTACGTAAACAGGGCCCTTTACGTGCAAACCCCATGTGTGAACCATGATCCCAAATCCAGTTCCAACTATACCCTACACACATTAAACCTTCCTTCAACTACCCATTGAATAAATCAAATCCACATAATATGATATGATATGCACAATAAGAAAAAGTTGAAACTTAGCTACAAAATATTTCATAGCAAAAGATAATGAATTCGTAACAAAAAGATTTTTGGAGTGAAATGAGTTTTGTTGTCTATACCACGTTAGTAAAGATCTTTAGACAACAAATTTAAACTTTCGTAATGAAAGATAAATTTTTTGCAATAAAATTTAAGAAAAAAGATATACTTAAAATTCTTTGTCTATAAAAATAAAATTCATAACAAAAGAATTTTAGTAACAAAGCATGATTTGTTCAGCCCAATCATTTTAGCTATGAAATATGATTTTGTACCTAAAATTCTTTTGCGGTGAAAATAGAATTTTCTAGCAAAAGAACTTTAGTAACAAAATTAATTTTTGTTTATGAATTATATGTTTTTAACTACAAAAATATTTAATAGTTAAAAATATTATAGTTAATTAGATATTTTATTTAGCTACACTTTGGCATGAGTGTGGCTGATATGCACCGATAGGAACACAGACACCAGGCGAAGATTTGTAGGAATGATCCACGAGCTGAGATGGGGTTCGGAGGCAATGCCGACAGGCAAGGCTAGACAGAAGGCAAAGAAACTGTAGAAGAACACTAATATGAACTATGCCGGGTACTCCTTCACAAAAATGGTCTGCACACAAATAAATCAGTAACTATGTTAGCTATGATACAGAGTCCATGGCTCAACTCAACTCAAGGAAACTTTAGAGTATACAATTATATGTAACCTGGAAAATGTACCAAACGGATGCGACTATGTATCCAGCAGCAAGCAAGCTGCCGCCGAGCACCCAATCGTATTGAGCACCAGACATTACACGATCGATAATTGAAATTCTTAAGTCGTCCCTATCAGGCGCAGGTATAAGCATTGGGCCATCGTAGAGCACGACGACTAGAGCACCTGCAATGGATACTGAAGCTCCGATGATCTTTGCCTGACTACTTAAACTTCTCAGCTTTAGCTTTTCCAGCCTAATTAGATTACCAGCATCAAACCAGTTTTCAGATTCACAGATATGAGATAGGGATTCAGCAGCGCATGAAAGCAAGAGAGTGCTTAAATTTAAATTGAGAATAAGAAAATTGAATAGAAGTGAAGCAGTACTGCCTGAAGAGAATAGCAAGGCAGAAGGTGCAGGCAGGAGTGAGATTGCTCATGGCGGATCCGAGAGTTGGACTGCTATACGCTATGCCTAAATACATCAGGTATTGTCCTGTAAACCTGTGCAGTGTAATTTACTTCGATTTACGGTATCCATCGAAATTCGAAACAAATAATAATCAACCGGAAATTACTACGCAGGGAAGGGAACATACGAACCCTAGAAAGCCGAGGATGAAAAATTTGCCGAGCAGGACGACGGTTAATGGAGGCAGCGGCGTATTCCTTCAGTAGAGCAGAACAGTGTTAACAGATTCGATTATTCACGTGTTCGGCGAGGAAATGAACAGGTTCGGAAATTGATTGATATATAAATATATACCTGTGGATGAGAGAAGCGAGAGGGAGGAGGAAGGCAGCGGCGATGGCGTATGAATAGGCCATGTAAACGTGGTAGTTCAAACCCATGGTGACTGCGGCTTTGTAGATGGTGGTGACGCCGACGTTGGCGCACTCCACGGTCACCATAGCGGTGAACACCAGCAGCTCCCATAGACAGTAGCGCCTTCGCAGCTGCGTCGGCAAAGGCATCCTTTAATGGACGAGCAGAGCAGAGAAAGTGTATAAATATAAATGGCGCGTCCCTCCCTCTGCCCTAGACAATAACATCTGAAGAATAGAGAGCAATTGAATTCAGTATGGAGGCAACAAACAAATAGAGTGTGTACAGTCTACTAGTAATGTATGCCGTGAGGGTTGAATTTGAAATTCAGCATTGTATCATCGTGTATTGTGTTGTTACACAGCGCATAATTTTACTGTAAATACAAAGAGTATAATGTATATCTTTAATATAATACAAATACAGTGAGCATACATTATTACTACATATAGCACACAGTATTGAGCATATTATATATGTAGAAATACAACACATGTTATAGTCTCATGCAATATATAAACACTTGATTTTAGCACATGATATGATATACTTGTTGTGCTGTTTATATATATAAAGCTTATTGATATGAAAAATCAGTATGGTGCTGACCATTCCCAGCAGTACTATATATATGTATATATGCACCAGCATTGACGGGAGATATTTATTTATTTATTTATTATGAATGAGAATTTGCAATCGCTATCCGAAAGTATACACTGGTAAACTTGTAGGAACACGCCGGTGAGGGCTGTTCATTCCCACGGATCGTTGTTGGATGCCAACGCGTACATACATGGTATAAAACGATCCTAAGCATGCTCCTATAAGAATGAACTAGAGATGTACCCTTTTTTGGAACCACCAACAGCAATCACGAACAGGTTGATTCCGCTAGATACCTTCCAGACTGTTCCCGAACCCCGCTCGAACACCGGATGGGCGGCGATCTATCAAACGGAGGGAGACGAATTTTGCTCTTCGTGAAACCCTAGAGCTTACGGCCTGCACCTGTGGTTTTCGCCTCCTTTTTAAAAAACATCCCTAGGGTTTGACAAAGACCGCATATTAATAAGTCTCCCAACAGGTAATTGGGCCAGACCGGGGATCTTTAGAAGGTGTTGGGCTCGGGCTCCCTTATAGATCCAAATCTCTATATTCAGCCCTGAATATAATTCGAATCATAAAATATTAATTCATTTCATTAAAGAATTAATATTGCACTCCCAGCCCAACCCAAATTGAATCTGGGCTTCTATTAAACTTAATTAATTCCCCATGTTTAAGATGTTCCACATCCATTAATTAATTAAATCTTCTGACAATTTAATTAATTAATATCTTTTAATTCCTTAAGTAATACCACTCAAAACTTATTATTGTACGGATTAAATCCACCTGCAGGGTTTATACAATAATCCTTATTGAGTTCCTTAAGGGGATGTCATCAACCTGGATGTCCAGGACATGGTGCCTTAATGATAATAAATTAATTACTATGCGAATAATGTAGTTGCCCAAAATACGAAGCATATTGAATCACTAAGGATTCTCACTTATGGTAAATTAAAGCAACGAACATTTATTCCATATATTTAATTTATTTCATCTAAGGTTAAGAATTAACAGAGTTACCGAGATCTTGGTTCTTCAATGTCAGAATAGAAGAACATATCTCAACTGTGATCCTTTCAATGTGACGCAGCACATTAGTGTAAACTAATAGTCAAGACAAACTAATTCCAAGTTTACACTACAACTTAAACCGATGGTTTTGTCCATAACCATCTCAGTTGTGAAACCCATTTATATTTAATAAAGAACTGACAACAAGATCTTCTGTGTGATCTCCACACACCATGTTGTCTACAATATTAAATAAGTGGACATGCTAATATATATAAAACATAAATAAAAGCAACACAATGTGAAATAACAATTTATTTATTCCAGTTAATAAGGAAATTGAATGATACAAAAGCGTACTAAAAGTTTGCTTTACAGTATAATCCAACAATCTCCCACTTATACTAAAGCTAAACTTTTAGTATACAATGCAAAAACAAGCTCTCCCACTTATACTAAAGTCTAGCTGCAATGTATCGTAAACCAAGGCCCTCTACGTGTTTCTCGAAAACCTTAATGGGTAAAGTCTTCGTGAAGGGATCTGCCAAGTTGTCCAACGATGCAATCTTAGTGACAGCTATGTCTCCTCGCTTTACGATGTCTCGTATGATGTGGTACTTCCTTTCTATGTGTTTACTTGCTTTATGAGCTCTAGGTTCTTTTGAGTTTGCCACTGCACCAGCGTTATCACAATAAATGATTACACGCTCAGGCATACTCTCAGACACCCCTAAGTCATACAAGAAGCTCCTGAGCCATACAGCCTCTTTTGCTGCTTCAGAAGCAGCAACATACTCGGCTTCCATGGTAGAATCTGCGATGCATTTCTGCTTTACGCTTCTCCATGAAATAGCTCCGCCTCCCAAGGTAAACGCATAACCCGAGGTTGACTTTCTCTCATCTCGATCACCTTGAAAATCTGAATCAGTGTAACCCAAAGGAACTAGATTGTCAGACTGGTAAACCAAACTATAATCTCGAGTTCTTTTCAGATACTTGAGAATATGTTTTACCGCAATCCAGTGTCCTTGACCAGGTTTGGACTGATACCTAGCTGCCATGCCAACAGCATAGCAGATATCAGGCCTCGTGCACAGCATGGCATACATGAGACTTCCTACAGCCGAAGCATAAGGAATGTTAGCCATCTCATCTATCTCCTTTTGTGTTTTAGGACACATATCCTGAGATAGAGCAACTCCATGTCTGAAAGGTAAGAATCCTTTCTTAGAGTTCTGCATGCTGAAACGGGCAAGCACAGTATCAATGTAGGCGGCTTGAGATAAGCACAACATTCTTTTCTTCCGATCACGAGTGACCTTCATACCAAGAATGTACGATGCATCTCCCATGTCCTTCATTTGAAACTGTTCAGAAAGCCATACCTTTACGTCTAATAATATCTTGACATTGTTTCCAATGAGAAGAATATCATCTACGTATAGTATCAAGAATACCACTACGTTTCCGTTGCACCTCTTGTACACACAACTTTCACTTGGACATTGCTCAAATCCAAAGGATTTGATCACCTCATCAAAGCGAATATTCCAAGATCTGGAAGCTTGTTTAAGTCCATAAAGAGACTTCTTTAGCTTCCAGACTTGATGCTCTTGGCCTTTCTTCACATAACCCTCAGGTTGCTGCATATAGATGTCCTCATCCAGATTCCCGTTAAGGAATGCTGTCTTGACATCCATTTGCCAAACCTCATAGTCCATGTGACTTGCTATGGATAAGAGTATCCGGATTGACTTTAGCATGGCTACTGGTGAAAAGGTTTCATCATAATCGATGCCCTCTTTCTGGGTAAAACCTTTTGCAACCAACCGTGCCTTGAAGGTAGTAACCTTCCCGTCAGGTCCTCTCTTACGCCTAAAGACCCATTTGCTCCCAATGGCTTTCTTGCCTTTGGGAAGGTCTTTGAGGTCATAGACCTCCATAGCATGCATGGATTCTATTTCTGAATCCATGGCCTTATGCCAAGAATCTGCATCAACATCTTGGATTGCCTCTTTATAGGTACAGGGATCAGGTTCTTGTTCATCACTGGGGACTGAATCCGAGGACTCTCCCACTAACAAGAAACGACTGGGTAATCGAGTTACCCTCCCACTACGCCGAGGCAATTCATGTGTGGTGACATAAGGGTCAACACGCTGTGCAGTTTGTTGTGGTATATCTTCTTGTACACTTGGTACTTGATTGTCTCCCCTTAATTCGTAAAGAATAATTTCACTTGGGGTCTTATGCTTATGCATATAGTCTTCTTCTAAAAACCTGGCATTGGTGCTCACCACTACCTTCTGGTCTTTAGGACTATAAAAACAACCCCCTCGTGTTCCTTTAGGGTATCCTACAAATAGCCGTACTTCCGTCCTAGATGCCAACTTATCAGCTTCCTTGTCCAACACGTGTGCTGGACAGCCCCAAATCCGAATGTGGTTCATGCTGGGCTTTCGCCCGGACCACAATTCTATTGGGGTTTTAGGAACTGATTTGGAAGGCACATAATTCAGGATGTACGCTGCTGTTTCCAAGGCATATCCCCAAAACGAGATGGGTAGAGAAGCATAACTCATCATTGACCTCACCATTTCTAAAAGAGTCCTATTCCTCCTCTCTGCCACGCCATTCTGTTGCGGAGTACCAGGCGCAGTCAACTGGGATGTAATCCCATTCACTAACAAATATTGCCTAAATTCAGCGCTAAGGTATTCGCCACCACGATCAGACCGTAATGACTTGATACTTTTACCTTGACGGTTCTCCGCTTCTGCCTTGAATTCTCTGAACTTGTCAAAGCATTCAGACTTGCGGCGCATCAAGTAAATGTATCCATATTTTGAGTAGTCATCTGTGAAAGTCACAAAATACTCAAAACCACCCCTAGCTTGAATTGACATAGGCCCACATACATCAGAGTGAATCAATTCTAACACTTCATTAGCCCTATTTCCCTTGGCCTTAAAAGACCTGGAGGTCATCTTGCCTTCCAAGCAGGACTCGCAGACTGAGAATGGTTCCACTTGTAGAGAGTCCAAGAAACCACTGCTCACTAGTCTTTGGATCCTCCTAAGGTTGACATGACCCAATCTAAGGTGCCAAAGATATGTTTGATTCGATTTAGAAGATTGTTTTCTTTTTAATGATGAAGATGCATGAACTTGAGTATTGGTTTCAGTTTGATGCGCACTAGTAATAGTATAAAGATTGTTTTCCAATGTGCCAGAACAGATAACAACTTTGTTTCTCATAATAAAAACGCTTTTATTAAAAACAACTGAATATCCATCCACAAAAAGTTTCGAAACTGAAATTAAATTCTTTCTAAAACTTGGCACATACAAAACGTTCTTTAAAACTAAAACTGAATCAGAAAAAGATAAATGCACATCTCCCACTGCAACCGCTGCCACTCTGGTTGCATCTCCCAAGCTTATGATAATCTCGCCCTCACTCAGCTGCCTTAGTGGCAGGAACCCCTGCATTGTACAACAAACATGATCAATGGCTCCTGTATCTACTACCCAAATACTGGTAGA